TTTTTTATCATATTCATTGAGAAATGTCACAACTATCAAACTTTTGAATACTCACTTAAGATAAAATCACAACTAGATAACCTCCATCTTATGTTCTTCTATATAATTATTCAAATCAATTAAATTATGAATTATTTTTCAATAATTAATGGTCCAAATGTTACCTTTTTGTTGATTTAGTTAAAAGCGTTAAAATGGTAATTTAGGTATTACATTATTTTAAAGGAGTCACAAGATGGAATAAAGTTCATAAAGGAATTTTAAGCGTTACCACTATTCTTTATGTTGAAACGCCAAAGAAAATTAGATAAAAAAAAGTATGTGTTATTGAAAAATTAGAATAATGGAGGTTTGTGTAATTTTTGAATAGAGTATATATCAAATTGTCATAAACTTCATGAGGCTATGCGCTATTAAAAACTTTAAATAATGGTTGTGTAATTTTTGAAAATCAAGAAATGTCCATAAAATTGTCGTAAGCCCCCACATTCTCGAGAAAATCCAGGGCCTGGGAGAGCCGTTCGTAATATGTAACCCGAAACCACCACCGTGGCTGCCGCCGCCGTCCATGGTGGTTTCTTGAATTCAATAGTCAATCCTAATCAGAAACACAAAAACGTGTTCAAATACAGAAAATTGTGGAAACTTCTAGAGAAATGGAAGAAATGGGATTGCGAGAAAGAAAAGAGAGAGGTTTCTGGATAGTTAAATTGGTAATAATTGACTTTTCTAGGATTGGATATTTTCATTGAGATGTTACTTTTCTTTAAAAGATACAGTAAATTTTGTCATCATCATAAAAGTTGCGTATGGGTTCATATTTGTTACTCTATCCATTAAATAATTCAATTTATATATGATTGTGACGGTAAAGTAGCGTTGGTTTCAACTTTTTGTTGAGTTTTGATACCCACTAAATTTTGAGTGGTGATGTTAAAATAATGTTTGATAATTTATATCAACACTTAAGTGATGGTTGGATCCGAAAATAATTTGAGGTCACTAAAAATAGTTTAATTAAGTTAACATTGCTCGTGACCCAATACTCATAAATGGCCCAAGTTATTGGATTGATGGTGATATATTAATAGCCCAATTACTTGGTTATTTGTGGCTTGAATTGTTGATCCAATTATCCTTTGGCCCATTTGTTGACCTAAACTAATCCATTATATACATTCCATTCCCAGCAATGGTTTAGCTTGTGTGTTTGCACGGTGGAGAGAAAATGTGAAGGCGACTGTCTTGGAGTAGAAATTCAACCTTGCTACCCCTATTCACTTCTTCCTTCATGGGTGCATTTAATTACCACCAAAGTCTGTCCTTCGTGGGCAAACTTGCGACAATCGGAGTGTGGGAGTTATAGGTTAGAGCCGATCTCGGTTGGTGTTTGGTTGGTAAGTTTTATTGAGTCGGATCAAGATTTCTGTAAAAAATGTTATTAGAGCTAGTGTAGTTAAGATATATTTGATTTTTGGGTGCTAAAACCGACTGGAAACAGGCCTTAATCGAATTTGAAAATTGGCAGAAAACAGAGGTGAAATCTGTCTATTTTAAAATCATAATTGTCAGACTTGTTTTTACATTTTTTTGGCAAAACCACTCATCATTTGGAGAAACGGAGACCATCGATTAACTTAGCAGATGGAGGTGCAGCTCGTAAAGCCACGCTTGGTGGATGGGGTGACGAATAGGCGACGAGTGGAAACTCCAGCGAGGCACGTGGAGGCGCGTCGACTGAAATCTAACAATGGTCTGAAAAGACAAAATGTCGTCGATGATGTGACGAATCTGTGGTGTTGTCAAATTTTAGTTTCATGCGATACGATGAAATTTTAACGATTTTGTCCTTGAACGTCCGAGTGCTAGCACAAGTTGGGTCAAGAATGAGGAGCCAATGGGCCAACAAACCTAATGCCCATATATCACCATCAATGCAAAATTACAACTTGGGCCAATTAAAAGTATTGAGCCAGGAACAATATTAACTTAATTAAATTGCTTCATATGCCCCAAGTTGTTCCAAGGCCGACTCATCAATAAAGGGTTGATCTAATTTATCCAACTTCAATTTAACATTATTGTCCGAAATTTATTGGATATCAAAATCCAACATATAATAGTAAGTATCAAAGTTATTAATAGGGATGTAAATGAGCCAAAATTCACGACTCAGGCATGCTCAGGTAAAAATGGATCGAGCTTTTTTCGGCCTAAGCGAAGCTAAAGCTCAATTGAAAAAATGGGGCTCGGCTCTGGCTTTTGGCTCTAGCCTTTCTGAGCTGAGTTGGCTTGCTTTTACAATTTTTTCCTTGAAATTTTATTTTTAAAAGGCAAAAATTTGCATTTTTAGTGGCAGCTATGAAATGCAGCTTTTCAGCTACCTTTGAAAAGGCAACTGTGGCTGCCATTAAACGTTTTTAGCTACTGCCTTTGAAAAGGTAGTGGCAAGGCAGCCATAGCTACCTTTTCAAAGGAACTATACAAAGGCCAAAATGGCCTGTGTTCCTGTGGCTAACATGGGCTGGTCAATTTCGATCGGCGAGCTATTTGGGCTGGTTCGAGCTTGGGCCAACACTCGAAAATGAGGCTCGGTCTTGACCTTGCCTCCCTTGATTTCAACGGATTTTTCTCAAGTCAAATCACGAGTCGACGGATCGAATTGACATCTCTAATTATTAAACCTACTTCTTTGCATGTGTGTTGTTTGTAATAATTGAATTCATTTGAATGGTTAACATTTAATAATAAAAAATTCATTTCGGAATTCTTATTTGAAAGTGTGTTTCTCAAAACATCTCCAAATTAATGCCATTCTTGACAATTGACTTGGCTGCAATCTAATTGGTTGGTCAAATCTGCCAAAGATTGTGTTTCTTGTGGATGGTGGAGATTTATCTTGGTGGATCAATGGCTGGGATTTAACTTGGAAATTAATATGACTTTTGGAGAGAGAAAAAGGACAGCAGACTTTTTCATTTTCTTTGGCTGAGTTACAGTTTTTTTCCCTTTTCCTCTCTCTGGCGATTTTCTTCTCCTCTTTCTGGTTTCACTTTGATATACACTTCTCAGTTAAATCCTGGTTTTAGATTAGTCCTTGTAATATCATGATGCTACAGTAACTCGAGGCGTGATTCTGAGCCTCTGCTATTTTCGGTTTTGTTTACTGTTGGCTAGGGCTAAGTGTTGTGAAAAGGATTTATGTTTGGTTTCGTAGATCTGTTGATCGATGATCGAAACTTGTGTATTCTGAGTGGTTTGATGTAACTTTGGTTCTCTTGGACGGCGATTTGCATAGTGGAACGGGTTCAGTTCTTGAGCCCCCCAGATTAGGCCCCGTTTGGCCGAACTGGGTCACCAACTCTGATGTTCTATCGGTTTTTCGATTTTATTTTGAGCACTTAATTTACAGTGTTAGATTATAGGTTTTTTAATCATCAGCTTGTATCCCAACAAACTGGTATCAGAGCCAAGGGCTTCTGGACGTGCTTCTTTACTGAATTTACTCTAGGTCGAAAAAAAAAATTTTTTTTTTTGGGGATTTCGAATTTTTTTAATCTGCCATTAATTTTTTTTAAAGAAACTGTTGAAATTGTGTTTGGTACTAATAATCTGGTTTTGTGATTCTTTGCAGTTGACTAACGGTGGACTTCTCACCTCTTGGCCACTGGTGATTACGTTCTTG